CTCCTCCTCCTCCTCCTCCTCCTCCCCCTCCTCCTCCTCCTCCTCCTCCTCCTCCTCCTCCTCGTCCTGTCCTCCTCCTCCTCCTCCTCCCCCTCCTCCTCCTCCTCCTCCTCCTTATCATCCTCCTCCTCCACCTCCCCTTCCTCCCACTCCTCTTGCTCCTCCTCTGCCTCCTCCTCCTCCTCATCCTGCTCCTTCTCCCCCTCGTGTTCATTTTCGTCGTCTTCAGGGTCGGCGGCACCGGCCGTAAGGCCTTCGCGATATGGCTCCCTCTTTAGCGCCGCGCACATTCGGCTTGAACGGTCACAGCAGTTTCAAGGGTCCGTATTACTGAAGTCCCAAGACCGGCTTTCTGGCACGATTCAGAGTTGTCTGGACGCAACACCCACCCACCCACTTTGATCCGCGGTGTTAAAGTCTCAAGAACGGCGTTCGGGCACGATTTAGGATTGTCCAGACGCAGCAGCCACGTTGATTCACGGCGCTGAAATCCCATGAGAAATGATTGGATGACCCTATGAAGAGGACGCTTGGAAAGGAAGGATTAGTGTGGCATCGTTGGTGCGTCTTGGGTTTACACTGGTCCTCCTCCTTCTCCTCCTCCTCCTTCTCAAAATCATTGCTATTAGTATCATCGTTCATCCTGTGTGTAGCGCTCGTCTTGATAATGATCACCCTCCGCGTCAACATCAACATCATAACCATCGGCATCATCAGACCACCGCCATCATCGTCATCACCATAATTATCAGTCATCTCATCATCACGATCGTCGCCGCCGCCAACCACCACAACCAGTAGCAGCAACATCCCCATCATCATCAGAAGCAGCAGCAGCACCACCATTCCCATCACCATCACTAGCATCACCACCACCGGCACCAGCATACTCATCCTCCTCCTCACTACCACCATCATCAGCATCAGCATCACCACCATCATCATCAGCATGGTCAACATGTTCAGCATAAGCATCAACAGCAGCATCAGCATCAGCATCATCAGCATCAGCATCAGCATCATCAGCAGCATCAGCATCAGCATCATCATCACCATCATCTTCACCAGCATCATCATCAGCAGCATCGCCCTCATCACGACCACCACCATCACCACAACTCCCTTCCTCCTTCTTCTCCCCCGCGGATGGGGAGGAAGTCGTGTGGGACCGACCCCGCCAGGAGGGTGGCCAGCCCTGGCGAACACAGCAACCCTTGTGCGTGCACCCCACCAGGGTCCGTGGGAAGCCGTGGTGGTTCAGCTGCTCGATCACCTGGGAGGATGCCAGCGAATCCTCCTCCTCCTCCTCCTCCTCCTCCTCCTCCTCCTCCTCCTCCTCCTCCTCCTCCTCCTACTCCTCCTCCTCCCCCTCCTCCTCCCACGGTCGGAAGCTTTTGCTTGGCGTGTCGCCGCGGCGGCCTCGGCGACACGCCGTGCCCTGCGGGCTGGTAACGCGAAGCTCCGCCTCACGGAGGGGGAGGCCACGAAAGGCCGAGGAGGCGCTGACGCTCGGGGGGTCCAGGGCGCGGTGAGCGCGTGGCGCCGCCGCGCGGTGGGCCAGAGCCGGCAGGAGCGTTATGCTGAGCACCCGCTCCTGACCGCACGGGTCCCTGACGAGGGGGCCAGCCCCTGCGCCCGGGAGCGGCACGCTCAGGAGCTCCACCTGGCCCGGCCAGGAGGGTGCGTGCACCGACCCAGGGGCTCGCCAAGACCTCTGGCGGCTCGAGCTTGTCAGAGCCGCTGCACCCCTGGACCTCTCGGGCCCCCTGTTTCCTTTGCGACGACATGAGAGCGATGTGCACTGTGACATCAACCATTGCGTGACTGAGGCCGCGTGCTGACTGGCAAGGAGACACCCCGCACACGGCAGCGTGGCCCCGTGTGCGACATGGCCGCCGCGATGCTGACAGTTGTGCTCGCCGCTGCAGTGGGTGACTGCAGTTTGCCGATACAGGCCGCGCGCTGTCCAGGAACGTTAGTGAGGGGCAGCGATAGAGGGGGACTGGCACAGGGGGGGATGCATCGACCTGGAATCGGCGATACATCGCCGATAGATCGGCGATAGGCCTCCGATCGTGAATCCGAAACTTCCTGGGCAGGTTGGGGCTATCGGGCCCCTATCGGCGATCAATGGGCGATTGGGGGTCGATGCATCCCCCCTATGTCCATCCCTCCCTATCGCTGCCCCTGAGCTAGGGGAACGAACAATGACATAAACATAAAAACTCGGAGGTCCGCGCGGATGTCTCGCATTGGCGCTGGACCCCCCTGGCGGCGCCGCTTGCGCCGCCCTCTGGCGCGCTCAGCGCGCCGGGGGGAATGGGGGTCCAGCGCCGATTCGAGAAATCCGCGCGGACCTCCGAGCTCTTACTTATGTCAATGTCATCGTTCGTCCCCGATAGACATGTTCCTCAGCCCGCGCTGCTTGTTGGCGGCCCCAGCGCCTGGAGCAGGCCCGCGGGGGCCAGGACGGCGGAGGAGCCGGCCGTCGACGCTGCGGGCACGGCTTCGGAGGTCTGGGCTCGGGGCCCAGGAGCTCGCCCGCCCCCCCCCTCGCTCCCTACCCCCCCCCCCCAGAATGCCCTGCGACAGGGGGTGCGTTTGCGGATGCCATGACAATGGACACTCCAACAATCCTGTCATTGAGTGAAAAAATTGGTTTAAAATGTATACAGCATGTTCTCAAACATGTGTCAAACCTGTTGTTCTACATATTCAAAGCATGTTCGAAACATGCTTTAGACATCTGGAAATGATTTGGCAGCATGCTTCCTCTCCACTGATCGCCCTCCACAAGGGCACGCCGACCCCTGGCCCGGGCCTCGTGGGGTCTTCGAGCGGACCAGGAGATCCGGGGCCCGGCCCTGGGGCACACACACAGGGGGGGGGGCGCCCGGCCCTCGATAGGAGCCCCCCAAGAAGCCCCAAGAGGCCCCCAAGAGGCGTCCCAAGAGGCCACCAAAAGGCCACAAGCATGGATTTCCGATGGGAATAGGTACATCTTTTGCATACACGGCTCTTCGGCTTTCACTGCGTTGAAGACGCTCCAAGAGGCCCCCAAGACCGCCCCAAGACGGCCCAACAGGGCGTGCCCCAGGGCTGCTCCCGTTTTTTCGGGTTGGGCGAAAGGGGGGGCTAGCTAGCAAAGGGGGGGCTTGAGAATCAGCTCACGCAGCTGGTTTTCCCGGCGCCTCCCGGCGCCGGGAGGCGGCCACGCATCGAGGAACGGGCCCCTCGGTGGGGCGGAAACCAGCTGCATGCAGCAGACTTCGTACCCCCCCCCCCTTTTCCCTACCCCCCCCCTTTCGTCTGGTGCGATTCTTCCGGAGCGACCGAACTCTTCGGGCGGAACTCGGGAATCGGGGGAGAAGCAGGGGGCGCCACCGCGATCCTGACAAGAAAACTCCGGAGGGCGCCGCTGGGAATGGCTCCAGAACAGCATGGAGGAGGGGAAAATCAACACTTCGGGGAGAGATCACCACCCACCAAACCACCCCAACCCAACCTGAAGCCCTCAATTTGCCTTACATCTCCGGTGGGGGGGGTCGGGGAACGTTGAAAAAGCACGCGGTATACCCGTACCCCCACCAGCCCGAAATGCGGGACAAGTTCGGGTCTTCGGGTTGGGTTGGGGTGGCCTGGTAGGCAGTCGAGAGAGGGGAGCATCGCCGGCGATCCCGGGGGCGCCCCGGCCGGAAACGGCGCCAGCCGTGGCCACGACGGCGCCCCAGCGCAAGGCAAAAAGGGAGCTCGGGCCCCTGGCGCTCGTCGAGAGCCTGGCTCCCCCCGATCCGGGGCGCGCTCCGTCAGCCGTGGCCACCAGATGGCCCCACCCCCCCCCCCAAAGCTCTTGGCCCTCGATCCTCGCCTGGCACGCCCGAAGGGGATACGAAAACGCACGCACACACACACACACAAACACAACATGCCCAATTGCAAGTGTTCACCAGAACCGACCGCGGCCGCTGTTAGGCAGGCGACTCTTGCCGCGAAGGGACAACACAACGTCCGCGGCGACGCCGACGACGAGTTCTGCTGCTCCGACTGGGCAGGAGCTGCTGCCACCCTTCGTTGGTTCCGGGCAGAGGGGGTCTTTCCTAATGGGTCGGAAAAATGTGCAATAGCTCATCCTGTGGTTTATGGGGCGTAGCCTCCCTTACGGACCAACAGTGCCAAACCCAACGCACTCTGCCTCCATCCAGCACGATCCAGCACGAACGACTGCACGAAGTGCTGCGCACATGTGTGAGACCCCCTGTGCAAAGGACCCGTCAGCCCGAATCTGGCTTCGCCCCCCACTCGTTCCGTATCCGTGCCGATCGGAACGACTCGCGGGCCCAGCCCGTCACCCAGTCGTACCCGGCCACGGGCGTTGCCTCGATGGTCGGGGCGATCAGGTTGGCCGCGTTCACGATGAAGCGAGCGGCCTGCCGCCACGTGTGAAGGGCACGGCACGCCAGGGGGGAGGGGAGGGGAGGGAGGCAAGCTAGGTGCGCTCGCGTCATATCTGACGTCCTACCCCTCCCTCCCATCCCTTACCATGGCGCTGATTTTCTCTATCCGCGGACGCGTGTCGTAGCGGACCTGTGGCTCCGCGCGCGCGTGCGTAGTGGGTGGTGGTGCGCGTGCGTGCGTGCGTGCGTGTGTGCGTGGTGTGTGGTGGTGGTGGTGGTGGTGGTGGTGGTGGTGGTGGTGGTGGTGGTGGTGGTGGTGGTGGTGGTGGTGGTGGTGGTGGTGGTGGTGGTGGTGGTGGTGGTGGTGGTGGTGGTGGTGGTGCGGCGCGGTGGTGGCGGGCGGATGGGCGCGCGAGAAAGAGGCCCGCGCTGGGGCGAGAACGCCATCCTGAACGACGGAGGCCAAACACCGATCCGAAAATGAGGCCCACGCTGCAGCGGGAGCACGATTCGGAACGATTCGGGAGCAGAAATGAGGCCGGCGCCTCAGCGAGAGCAGCATTTTGAAAAAAACGCAGGCGAAAACCCGTTTCCCGGGAATCCTGTGTGTAAAAAAACAGTACGCGGGGGGGGTCGGCCATCTTCGGGACGCCATCAGGGGAAGTGGGAGAGTATTTTCATATTGTGTAATTGTGGAGGGAGGGAGGGAGGGGGAGGGAGGGAAGAAGGAAGGAGGGGAGGGTGGGAGGAAGCGTAGGGAGGACGAGAAGGGAAGGGGGAGGAGCCTGGAGGAGGATGGGCAGGAGAATGAGGAGAAGTGGGGGGAGCAGAAATCCTACCTCTTGAACTTTTGAACACGGGGTCCCCGGAAGTGAACCGACCCTTTCCCCGGGGACGGCTCTGACCCCTGAGTCGCTGTCGGACGGTCCCAGGGCTTGGCGAGGGCCCCCGTAAACCAAAAAAGGCCAAAAACCTCCCGTCGAAATGTAGCAGGGGATATGTCGAGCCCTGTCCCAGTTTCTGCGTGGTTTCGTCGCCTGGAGGGGGAGGAGGGAGGGGGTCGGGGGAAGGGAGAGCGGGAAACGGAAGAGGGGAAGAAGGACGGGCGGGCCGACGGACGGGGGAGGGAAGGCCGCGGGAAAGAGAGGAAGACACCACACCCCCAGCGCCAGGAAAGGCACGAAGAGGGGAGGAGGCGGCAACGAGTCGCCGAGGGACAGTGCGCCGAGGGTGGAGAGCAAAGGAGGCACCCCTGGAAAAGGAAAAGTCGGGCGTCCAGGGGAAGAACCGCGCCTGGGGGGGGAGGACGGGAGGGGCCGGCGGATCTTTGAGCAGGGACCGACCGTCCCGGCATTCCTATAGTCCTACCACGAAATGTTCTTAGAACCCAAAAATGTTCTAAGAACAAAAACAATGTTCTTAGAACATAAACCCGATGTGTTAAAACAAGACAGTCCCAGCCAGAAATGTTCAAAGAACACTTCGTGCATACCACAAAAGGTTCTTAGAACATTGCTTGGTGGGGCTATAGGCGAGCCGGGACGCTCCGCCACTGCTTGAGATCTGTGCGCCCGGTCTTCGCCGCCACGCGCCGCCGCGCGCTCCCCGGTGGCGCCACCGAGTGAGAGTGCCCCCCGCTGCTCGGACGTGGACAGGAAAGTCTGCTGCGTCCAGAAGAACACAGCGCTTCGACTCAAGGGACAGAATCGCCGACTGTTGGGCCCTGACAGGCAAATCGGGGCAGCCGCCAGCGCGGATGAGGGAGTGCGAAAAGCTGCGGATAGGTGAAGAGCACGGGCCGTGGGGGCGCAGTGGGGGCGCAGAGGAACTACAGGCGGCTGCCGTAAGTAGGAAGGGAGAATAAGCTGACAAAAACAAGTGAATTGAGTGCCACCCCCCTCCCTCCTCCCCCTCCGCGGCCCCCCTTTTCGCCTGCGACAATGGTTGGGGAAGCCAAAAAAAAGTACCGATACCGCTACTCCCCGGAGCTCTCCTGCGGTGCGCTCTGACCAGGATCCCGGGGCGAATTTCAACGGTGACGACGAGGGCATCCGAGGAGGCCCGAAGCGGGGAAAACGGGCGAAGGGCAGAGTCCTGGGTACCTTTTCCTCCTCCTCCTCTTCCTCCTCCTCCTCCTCCTCCTCCTCCTCCTCCTCCTCCTCCTCCTCCTCCTCCTCCTCCTCCTCCTCCTCCTCCTCCTCCTCCTCCTCCTCCTCCGCCCGAAGCGAGCATGTCTGGGGGGGGGGGCAGGGCCAGAGAGCCGGGGAGCCGGGGCGTCGCCCGACGAGGCCGGGGGGCCTGCCGCTGGCGGCCCTTGACGTCCTCGCGCAGCGCGTCGTCGCCCTCCACGAGCTGGCTCCTGCCGCTGGCCATCGCTCGGACGTCCCTTCCCCTGTGCATGTTTTTCGACTTCGCGAGAGGAGGAGGAGGCGGAGGAGGAGGAGGAGGAGGCGGAGGAGGAGGCGGAGGAGGAGGAGGAGGAGAAAGGAGGAGGAGAAGGAGGAGGGGGAGGAGGGGGAGGAGGAGGAGCCTCACCCCCCCCTGAAGGGGAGGAGGGCAAGGAAGAGGAGGAGGACAAGGACGAGGAGGAGGAGGAGGAGGAGGTCCAGGCCCGCGCCGCTGAGCCTCCTCCCCCTCCTTCTTCGCGGGATGATCCTATCTGCTCCTCGATGGCCCTCGCCGGAAAAGGCACATGTCCGAGCGATGCCTAGTGCACGCAACGCGCCTCCCCCTCGGGGGGCCCGGGATCTCCTCGTCCTCCTCGCCCCTTTCCCTCTCCTCCTGACGAGCTCACGCGCTGAAGGCACGAAGGCTCGTCGAATGTTGCCGTCCCCCACTCCTCCTGGTCCTCCTCCTGGTACTGCTCCTGCTCCTGCTCCTGCTCCTGCTCCTGCTCCTGCTCCTACTCCTCCTCCTGCTCCTCCTCCTCCTCTTCCTCCTCCTCCTCCTTCTCCTCCTGCTCATCCTCATCCATACAGAGCGCACCTGGGAAGGCGGACAGGACGCCGTCTCAGGAGCCCTCCCTCCCAGGTGCGAAGTTCGCGAACACCGTGGACACACGTGTTCTGGATGACTTGTGGCAAATGGCGCGGTTGACTTCGAAGCCTCGTCCCGAGTACGAACAGCCTCCCGACTACATCAGCCAAGGGGCAGCCTACATGGCTGACCCACGCGCGGCCAACACACTGGGGCAGGAGTACGGCCAGTTCGTTAACACCTTGGAGACTTTCTACTGCGCCGCCTACGCCATCCAGCCCCAGGATAGACACCGCTACAAAGGAAGAGGCAGGGCGAGGAAGATGACAACCACGAGAGCTACGCCACGCACCAGGCGCACGCACTTCAGCAACCAGCAGTCCGATTGGTGGGGGCGGCTGGCCACTACGCTGCGAGCCTACCTCACATTGCGACAACGAAGACACGGAGTAAAGCAACAACACCAGTTGGAGGCTGCAGCACGACAACTGGTATATGAAGGTATCCCAACGGGTGGAGCACGACTCAACCCAACAGCCAGACAGCACCGAGATTTGTGGGCCGACCGACTACAGAAGCTCCACAGTATCGGGCTAGGTATACTACAGGGAATGACGGTCCAAGCCGAACAAGAAGTCAAGAGGGCCTTGAAGTTCGACATGAGAGCCAGACCCCGCAACTTCATGATCTGGCTCACCGACGCTACGAAGGCCACCCCAGGCAAACTTCACAAGATGACCAAGCCTCAACCAAGACACGAAGACGAGTACGTACACGTCCGAGGCAAGGCGTGCTGTCCGCGAACCATCATCGACGCCAAGACCATCGAGTTCAGAGAGCTCTGGCAGCACCCAACGCTCTCGCACCAAGACTACGTCGCCATCATTACCGACGTAAAAGACAACGCCAGCTCGGCCCCAGTCACGAACTGGACCTTGGACGACTTAGACTACTCGCTGCGATGCTCCCCCGACAAGGGCAAGGGCACCGACAAAATCACACGCTCGGACCTGCGACGACTCCCGCAGGCTGGGCGACAGCAGTTGGTGGATCTGTTCAACAGCTGCGAGCGCGAGCTCGCTTGGCCATGGCAGCTGCAGAGCACCATCATCATGCTGCAACCAAAAACAGAAGGAGACAGGGCACCTGGGCTGCTACCACAGATATGCAGAGCTTGGGAGAAGCTCACGAGGCCTACGGTGGACAAATGGATACGTGTTGCAGGTCGGCATTGGGACGCAGCCCTGGCAGGGATCAGCTGCCTGCGGGAGGCCGCTGCGCGCATCCTGGGCGACGAGATCTGCGACGCACTCCAGCTCGCACATGCCGCCACATTGGCAGACATCAAAAGGTTCTACGACACGCTAGACATCCTGCAGGTGGTGTACGCGACTAGACACATGTGGTTCCCTCCACGGGTTCTGGCACTAGAGCTGCAGCTCCACACCTTTGTGCGCTTCCTACGACAAGCCTCGACATACGGACAGCCAATCCTGCCTTCCCGATCCTTGGTGGCAGGATCCCGACACGCGAACAATCTCGCCAGAGCAGTCATGTACCAGGTATTACACCGCATGCATTACCAAGTCCCTGCGGTGATGGCCAGGGCTTGGTTCGACGACGTGGAACTCAGCGCGACTGGAAGCAAGAAACGAGTCTCCGACGCCATCATCCAGGCAACCACCACGTACGCACGATGCTTGAGCGAGCAAGGGCTCGAGATGGCGGACAAGAGTGTGATCATCAGCAACAACATGGACATGACGCACTCCATATGCAAGCACGTGCGACAGCTGGGCATTCACATCAAGGCGGCGACCACTGGCCGAGACCTCGGGCAGGATCGAGCAGGGCGTACGCCAACGAGCAGACCAACACATAGCAAGCGACGCCGTTAAGCAACAGGGCGCCTACGCAATATTGCGCTGAAGCTACGGCGACTGAGAGCACAACGCAAGAGAGCCTTGATCACACAGGGCCCCATGGCCTCCTACCTCTACGGATGTAGAGTGTACGGAGAAGCGCCGACAGCCATTACAACAGCAAGACGTCGGTGCGCCAGGGCACTGGGGAAGCACTGGTCGGACAGATGCCTCCACACCTACCTCACCCTGGCGGACGCGGACCCAGCTACAGCCATCCTCAGAGGAGTGATGGATACGTGGTTCGACGTCTGGAGCCGGCGCGGTCACCTACACCAGGGAGCGCACCAGGCATGGCCAGTTATCTACCAGCGCCTCCACAACGTGCCTCCCATCTACCGATGGAAGCAGAGGCGAGGCCTCATTGGGACGGTCATACTATCACTATGGGAGATCGGCTGGGACGCGATATCTCCAACACAGTGGATCGACAACCGGGGCAACCTATGGCAGATGGGCGACGGCGACCACCGCGGGGACCCTGCCGACGTGATCCACGCCATTCTGGAAGCACACCAACTCCAGTAGTGGGCCAAGGCGGCAAACCATTGGCTTGGCAAAGGCTGCGAGTTGGGCATCGACACATACGACCTCAGCAGGAAATTACGAAAGCTACGCAGACAAGGAAAGCACCACGACGCAGGAATGCTCCAAGCAATAGCTTGCGCGGCGATGTGGACGCCAGAGCGCAAGCACCATACCTTCGACAACATGGACAACAAATGCGAATGTGGATTGGTATCCGACGACCTACACAGAGTATGGGGCAGCTGCCCAGCACGAGACGAAGACCACGAAGACTGCGTGAAGACCAACATGCTACGGCAACGAGCGATCGAGGGCAGCCAACACGTGCCATGCTTCTGGTTGAGAGGGCTGGTACCACGTGAGTGGACCACGCCGCCTGAATGCACGACCTCCAACCAACCAATAAGCTTCGGCGACGATGGCTGCACCCTCGTCGCAGGTGACATCACAATCATCAGCACGGACGGAAGCGGCGGGGAGCATGCCAGCGACCCGCGATACAGACGATGCGGTTGGGGATGGGCCATATTGGCAAAAAGAGATGGCTTATGGGGAATACAGCGAGCTCAGTACGGACCTCTGCCAGGACGACGTCAGACCAACAACCGAGCGGAGTTGTGGGCCATTGTCCAGGCGCTGAGATCCACCAGAGGTAGAGTGCTCATATGGACCGACTCAGACGTGGCGATCCGAGGATGGCAGAGGGCACACTACGTCAGGACAAGTGCACCAAGAAGCAGCAGGGACATCTGGGACGCCATGGAGAGCGCCCTGCGGCAGCGTAGCCCAGGGCACGAGCACCCATTCGAGCAGGTCGAGCTGCGCCACATCACCAGCCACCTGGAGGCCGAGGAGATGATCGCGTTGCACCTCGACGAGCAGGCCTGGCTCGGCAACGCCGCGTCTGACGCCTTGGCAGAGCGGGGCGCGGCCATGCACGCGATCCCAAGGGCACAGATGCGCTTGTATGAGTGGGCGCGAGCGACGGCCTCGCTCGTGTGGAAACGTCTCCTCCGCGCCCACCTGGATGCTGTCGCTCGAGATCCGTCGTCCCAGGAGGTCCAGGAGGCTGCAGGAGCAAGAAGAACCAGAGCTCGGAGGATTAGTGAGTTGAGCCAGGCCCTCTCCTCCACTCCGCATCGCCTCCACCCTTCCCGCAGTAGATGGCAATGTAGTTCGTGCAACGAGGCAATCAGCAGCAAGTCAGGGCTCACCACCATCAAAAGATGGTTTAGGATTTGCAAGCCCCAGCCCCTAGGGAACCCAAAGGCCCGCGGGGATGTAGTGACTAGGCACTCTGTCCAGATTGGCCTAAGAGCTGTCCACTCATCGCACACCATGGAGTATGCCGAGCATGCCTCCATGTGGTGGTGCAAAGTCTGTGGCCGTCGAGCCAAAGCGTCTGACGGGGGAAGTATCAAGGGGCTTTTCGACCCCTGCGGCCCCCACACAAAGAATGGGAAGTATGTAATTTCTCGGTTGTCTCGGGGTAAGGATATCCCGCACTAGAGCCCGTGCCCGCCCTGATCTGGGGCCCACGGGACCCGTGCCGCTCTAGGGGCCCCAAGTGCTTCTGGGTCCCCGACGCGGCACCCGCCCAGGCGAAACTCGACTGCGTCGAAGCCGAATTCTCCCGAATTCTCCTCCTCCTCCTCCTCCTCCTCCTCCTCCTCCTCCTCCTCCTCCTCCTGCAATCCGCAAGCTAGTGCCATCGGATACGGCAACGGAGCTGCCCACGCACCCACTCCAGCGGACTTCGCCGCTGGGTGGGGTGTGAGAAAGAAGCGCAAGAAGAACAAATATCCTCTACACCCTCCAATTCGATGACCGCTCCCCATTATCTAGTGCGGCACAAGCCTGCAGCGCTGCCCCACCAGAGGCGGCGCGCGGCGGGAGGCCTGGGGGACGCGGCAGGTGGCAGGAGCCTGCGTCGCACAAGGTTGCGCAGACGCCCAGGTCAGAAGTTGGCTTGCTCGGCGCGAGACGCGGTTGTCTGCGCCACCACGCCGCCCCCCGTGGGAGGCACAAAGCGTCCTTCAACCGCGCGGGCGCGACCACCTTCGTTGGTTGCCGGCACGTTCCCGGCCGTGGCTCGGGGGCGGGCGAGTTCGCGGCAGAAGGTCTCGTGGCGACAGAGTGGCACCACAGTTCCCGCGAAGAGGGTGGATGCGGGGGAGGGGGAGGGGGAGGAAGAGGAGGAGGAGGAAGAGGAGGAGGAGGAGGAGGAGTACCAGTGGAAACCTAAGAGTCATCAACGATGTTGGAATTTACCCTCCCTCCGAGCTCCATCTTCATAGGCCCCTGCGACGGTTCATTTCCATTGAGGAAACTGCCTCGTTGGAAGACAACAGCTTAAAGATCCTGAAGCGTGCCAAAACATCGCCCTCGGGATTTCAACGCCACATATCAACCTGGATGCTGCGTCTTGACGATCCAGAATCGTACCAGAAAGCCATTTGGGGGACTCCAACACAGCGAATCAACAGAACTGTTGCGCCAGTATAATCCTGAATCCTTCCAAAAAACACCTTTTCTGGTGCGCAAACGAATGTGCGCGGCGCTGAAGCGAGAGCCACATTTTGAAAACCACCCGCCCTCAATCCTTGAAACTCTTGTACATGCTTAAAACGAATGTGCGCGGCGCTAAGGCGAGAGCCACAGTTTGAAAACCACCCGCCCTCAGTCCGCGAAACTCTTGCAATATGTTGAAACGAATGTGTGCGGCGCTAATGCGAGAGCCACATTTGGAAAACCACCCGCACTCAGTCCGTGAAACGCTTGCAAATGTTTAAAACGAATGTGCGCGGCGCTATGGCGCGGGCCACATTTTGAAAGCAACCCGCCCTCCATCTGTGAAACTGTTGTCACTTTCTAAGCTTCAGAATCATAAATGGTAAAGAAGTCTCAGGCGAAACGCCCGGCCCACCCTAAAAACTGGCCTCGGGGTGCGACAGGGAGGAGCTATCTATAAGCAAACGAAATGGAGGAGGGGGAGGAAGAGGAGGAGGGAGGAAATGCAATCAGAAGGAAGAAAAGTCCTGGGATTTTGGGATCGGACACCCGCCTTGTCGGCGACGTGGCAGGGTGGCTCTGCATGTTGAGACGTCTGGCGCTTCTTGGCGCCGGGCTGGCGCCGCGCGATGGGGTTTGACCGTTCATCCCAGTAACCTCCACGGGCTCCCAAAAGTGCAAGCGCGCAGACAGGGAAACACGATTGTGGGTTCAACGGCGTATTATGGTACGTCTTTTCGGGTTTCGCACCGTAGCCCTGCTGGCCAGCGGAACAGGCATGGGCGGCAGCGGGTTGCGGCTGTAGGTGGGGGGGGCAAGGGAGGGAAGCGATCTTATTTGGGAAGGAAGAAGGGAAGGGGGTGCGAAGCCCACCGTCGACGCGCGAAGACGAGCCCGGCAAAAAGCGTTGAGACTCGAGCAATGTCTCTTAAGAGGGTCCACAGAAGGGGTGCGCAGTTGTCTTCGGGAAAGAACGTGGTCTTCTGGGCCGTCTGTGGCCAGCGGGCGCGCGGTGCGGGCGGCCACTCAGGAGACTAAGCCTCCGGCCGCTGTTTACACCAGCAATTGCAATGCGCCGCGGGCGCGGGATCAAAGGGCACGGTGGATGAGAAGCGCCAAGAAACGGCTGCCCTGGCAAGGTTGGCCATCTCGTGCGAGTTGTTGCGGGTTCCGCTAACCTCCACTGTGTGGTCCAATCTTGAGGATGGCGCCATCTCCAGCGTCCACGCGGACTCCGAGCTTGCGCCCAGATAGTCTGTTGAGGACGATGGGGAGGGACATCGAGGCTGGCAGCGGCGGTCACGGATGATACGACGTCCCCCCCCCTGCAAGTGACAGCTTTGCGGCAGCCGAGGGCTGCTGCGCTCCTGGGGGGCGTCGGCGCTGTCTCAACCATAGGTGGCGGGCGGGGGCTCTGGCCCCCAGGAGGCCAGCGGCCTTTGCGCTTGCCCCCTTGCGGGTCCTCTGGCCTCTTGGGGCCGGCGCCCTTGGAGCGCCCTGCGCCCCTTCCCTGCGAGGCGCCCACCTTAGCCAGCGCTGCGGGCGCGGCGCGCGGCGCCGCGGCCGCGCCGTGGGAGCTGCCGCCCGCGAGGGCGCCCCCCGCCCACGGCGGGCGCCCCGACGTGGGCCTCGGCAGCGCTGGCCTCGCCGGCACGGGTCCCTCCCACGGCGGTCGCAGCGGCCCGCCCCCCTGGAATGAGGCCGGGCATGGCCCCCTAGAGGCGGGCTTTGCACGAGAGATTACAAAGACTCCACAGCATTCAAAGACAGTTCTAAAAACAAGATGAGAACAAATCGTCCCCTGAATATTTCTTGACTCTTCCTCAACTTTCCCTCCTGTAGAGGGACGTGCCCGACGTGACCCTAGAAGTTTGAAGTTTTCTTTTCGCCGGCACTGCCACCTCAGGCGTACGCGCGGCGGTCGCAGCGGCTGCTCCGCCAGCATCTCTCGCCGGTGCTGCCCCCGCGGGCGTACGCACGGCGGTCTCCGCCGCTGCTCCCCCAGTAGCTCCAGGTGGCTGCCGGCCGCCGCGGCAGGCGAGCCGGCGCCCCGCCGTGGCCCTGGCCACCACGGGGCCCGTGCTGAAGAGCCCGCTCTTCCCGTGAGTCTCCACGATGGGCCCGCTGCCTCTCGTGGGTCTGCAACGGGCAGCGCAAAGCACTGCCGGCGCTCTCGTGGCTCAGGATGGTGTCGGCGGCCCGACCACAGGGAACCTTCCACAAGAAACCCAACCCTCCTCCTCCTCCTCCTCCTCCTCCTCCTCCTCCTCCTCCTGCTGCTCCTCCTCCTTCTCCTCCGCCTCCTCCGCCTCCTCCTCCTCCTCCTCCTCCTCCTCCCTCTCCTCGTCCTTCTCCTCCTCCTCGTCCTCCTCCTCCTTTACCACCACCATCGCCATCATCAGCAGCAGCAGCAGCAGCATCATCATCATCATCATCATCATCATCATCATCATCATCATCATCATCATCATCATCATCATCATCATCATCATCATCATCATCATCATCATCATCATCATCAGCATCATCATCATCATCATCATCATCATCATCATCATCATCATCATCATCATCATTGATCATCATCATCATCATCAGCAGCAGCAGCATCATCATCATCATTACCACCACCGCCACCACGACCACCACCACCTCCACCATCATCATCA